GGCTCCCAGGTTGCAGATTCAGCCACATGTCTCCACCTGTGCCTCCCCCTCTGCCGTAGGATCAACTCTCCCCCTGGGCCGGACCCAGCAGGAGGATCCCAGCCCCCCAGCGCTGGCCTGAAGCAGTGCCATCCTCTGGCTAGAGCAGGGCAGGGAGAGCGCCACCCCCTCCACCGCCAGTAAATTCACCCACCACATTGACATAAACGCAGATTTGCCCCCAGTGCCACGCCGGTTCCTGGAGTGTCACCCAGCTCCTGCAGCGTGCTCAGCCCCGAGTGACCCAGCAAGTCCACTCCCATGGCAGATCAGAAATGGGGCGCAGGGCTGGGGGTGACCCCAGGGTGAGAAGCCCTGAAGATAGGCAGATGTCTCCAGGGGCAGTGGCAGGAGTTCATTGGGCGCTGTGTGGAAGAAGCGGGAAGTTAGGGCCGTGCATGTAAAGGCTCATGGGGACAGTTATACTTTATTTCCCCTGTCGATCTCTCCGGGCTCTGGGTAGGTCACCCCCTTTGGGTTGGGTTAGAGTCTTTCTAGTTCAAGCTGGATCCAGACTCTCACTGGGGCAGGGTCTCTGGCATGTGCGATGCAGGAGTTCAGACTAGATGGTCAGGATGGTCCCTTCTGGCCATAAAATCCATTGATCTTTGTCACGGAGTGTGGGGCAACACAAGGCCCTGCACCCCCGGCTTCCTGCAATTCACCGTGACTCTCAGCCAACCAGTAAAGCAGAAGGTTTATTTAGACGACAGGAATACAGTCCAAGACAGGTTTTGCAGGCACAGACAACAGGACCCCCCTCAGTTAGGTCCATCTTGGGCTCCCAGGGCGCCCCAGCCCCCTTGGGAGGTCAGAGCCCCATCTGCCTCCCAGCCAGCTCCTGAAAAACCCTGCCTTCAGCGACCCCTCCCACAGCCTTTGTTCAGTTTCCCGGGCAAAGGTGTCACCTGGCCTATAACCCCTTCCTGGGTTCTCATGTTACATGCTCAGGTATTCTCTGTGGGTCAGTCTCCCCTCCCCCAATGCAGACTATCCTAGCCACACTCCCCTGTCAGCATTCACAGACCACAGTAAGAACAGTCCCAGTTCGTCACAATCTTCATTCCCAATTTACAGCTGGGGAAACGGAGTTGCAGAGAGGTGTCACCTGGGGTCGAACATCCCCATCAGAGCCGGGAACAGAACACACATCCGTCATTTCGAGCGCTACGCCCTGTCCACGGGTGAACACTCGGAGGCTGGAACCAGTGAATGAGATTCAGCTTTTGTCCTTGGCCTGTGTTGGTTTTCACTTAGCTGCCGGGGTGCCTCAGTAGGAACATGCGGCCAGGACCCGAACGCTCCTAGTAGGGATTGTCACCTGTCTTTTGTGCCAGTAATGTGCGGCTAGATTGTCCCTGCCGATTAGCCCAGCCGATACGGGCTACTATGGAAGAGCCCAGGGCAGCAGAGAACTTGGGAGAGGCTGGGGCTTCTTCAGAACCATCCGGCACAGGGCAGAATGCTTCCAAGAAGCAGAGCACCAAGGCAAGTGGGAGACCAGGGGATGCCAGCAAGGCCTCTAAAAAGAAGAAGGCTTTCAAGGCCCCCAGGAGAGTGGCCCCGGACTACTTTGTTCAAGAGACGGACAATGACATGCTGCTGATCATTTCCAACATAGGTGACAGGCAAGACCGCCCTCCCAGGAGAGTGGCAAAGAGAAAGCACCAAGCGCCAGCAAAGAAGCAGCGGCTGCAGCGCATCCAAAAGACGGGTGTGGCAGGAGAGAGAAAGAAAGAGAAAGGAGGGGCTCTGGCTGCAAAGGAGTCTGTGCTTGGGGGCCAGGCTGAGGAAAGCGGGGCAGCTGCTGGGGCCTCCTGGGGAGAGCGCCTCCCAGTAGAAATCCTGGTGCAGATCTTCCAGTCTTTGGTGGCATCTGAGGGGGCCGTGCCCTTGCTCTGCAGGTATGTGGAGGTACTGGGAAGTGGGTTAGCAGGGACCATGCGGTCAGCACGGCACAGTCACTCAATGCTTACGGGAGCACGCTCGCGGGCTTCCTTCTCTTTGGGCTAGTATTCCATCCTTGCTTCCTGCTTTGCTGGGGTCGGAGGAATGGGGGGCCGGGGTGATGAGAGGAGGGATGGTCTAGTGGTTAGGGCACTAGCTTGGGACTTTGGTTCCATTCAGATGATCACAACGGTCCCTTCCGGCCTTGGAATCTATGAATTCCTTGCTCTGTCACAGACTTTCTGGGTGGTCCGTGGGGGGTGCCCCTTTCAGTGAGACAGCCCTTCTCTAGGGTCCACTCTCTCTCAGGGTCAGGCCCCTCCACCTCCTGGAGCCGCACCTCTCTGAGCCTTAGCACGTCTTTCTCTCGCCATGGGCCCCCTCAGGGAGTCCACGCGCTCTGGACCCCCAGGACCTCCACCCCCGAAGGGGTTGATGCAACCCTGTTCTCTAGACCGGAGTGACTCTAAGCCAGCATAAAACAGGAGGGTTTATTGAGAGTTGAACACAGCCCAGGAAACTCTCAGGGCCTCAGGCCTGGCCTCCCTCAGCCCAGCACATCCCAGTCTCTCTGCATCCAGGTGGGCTCTGCCTGCTCCCCCTCTCCAGCCCAGAGCATCTGATATCACTGGCCCCAAGCCCTGCCTCTGTCCATTGTCTTCTATCCAGGTAAACAGGGTTGCCTGGGCTTCCTCTCCCCTCTTCCGTCCTCTGGCCCCCTCTGGCTGGAACCGCTGGTTAGGTCACCGGGGTCCTCTCTTCACAGCCCACTGTCCTCCCACTGGCCAGAACCGGCTGTGACTCCTGATCTGGGCCTCCGGGTCGCCAGGTCACTAGTCGCTGAGGTATCCATTCTCCAGGCCATTCCCTCGCTGGTCCTCTGTAACAACAAACTTCCTCTCCCCTCACCTCGTTAAACCAGTAACACCCAGGGAAACTGAGTCCCACCCCCTCCACATGCAAACCATTGGAAAAACACGGAAAAACCAAGAAAATCCCCCACTTTGTCACACCTCGGGCAAGTCACTTAGGACCAGCTTTGTAAAGATCTTGAAATCAATGGGAGTCAGGTACTAGACGCCTTTGAAAATCCCACTAGGCACCTAAATACCTTTAAAAATCTGGCCCTTTGTCCCTCTGCCTAAGTTCCCTTTCTCTCCAGAGGGGACAATAGCTGTGCCCTGCCCCCAGGGCCGTTTGTGAGGATAAATTGCTAAATCCATTGAAGAGTGTGCAGTGCTCAGATCCTCTGGTGATGGGGCCCGTACAGTGTATTCATTTAGATGGAATAAAGGGGCCCAAAGACTCAAAGGTGTTAACAAGACACTGTACCAGTCCAACATTAAATCGTGTTGAACAAGGTTGAGGGTTTGGTACGCAGAGACCTCAGCCTGCATAGTCCCATGGCAAACACCCCATTAAACGTCCTTTTCACCCTTATTAAAGACACAGAAAAGAAGGGAGGGGGATAAAATGTGAAAGCATTTGAAATGTCAGATCTCCCTTGTTCCCTTTCCCTTTAGCTGGAGCGAGTTTTTAGAACCAACCCCCCGTTAGACACTCGTCTGGTGTTAAAGGGGCAATAACTGTCCGGGGAGGAAGAGCGAAGACGTTAGTAGAGATGGGCTGGAGCTGGCATTGTGGCTGATGTTCAAGTCCAATCCCGTTCCCTAAAAGACAAAACAAGACAAATACACTCACGAGGGAAGGAAAAAAGAGCAGCAAAGATGCAGCTCCTGTCTCTGGTGCCGACTCTCACTTGCAGGCTCCCTGCTGGAGAAACACAGACCCAGCCCACAGTCTGATCCGCCACTCTGAGACCTGGCAAACTCGGACCAGCCTCAGGCTGTTCAGGACGTTGCTTAGCTGCGTCTCGTCACAGGCTCACAGCAGTGGTGGGGAATGAGCAGTCTTGTCCAGCTAAGCCAGCCTGTTGTGAGACAGAAGGGAAAAGGAGAGGGCTAGGAAAGAAAAGAAATAAGATGGGGAAGGAAAAGGACAGGTTAGGTTTGGGGGAGGGGAGTGTCTCACATCCCAGGTGGCATTCAGGATTCAGCCAGCGTTGGTAGAGGTGATGGTGCCATCTGGGTCCCTCTCTCTGGCCCACTCCGGTCAGGATACCTGTCAGGATTAGGATGGAGAAGACACAGGGTTCAGAGTAGCAGCCATGTTAGTCTGTATCCGCAAAAAGAACAGGAGTACTTGTGGCACCTTAGGCCTGGTCTACACTACGACTTTAATTCGGATTTAGCTGCCTTAATCCGAATTAATCCTTAACCCGTCCACACAACGGAGCCAGTTACTTCGAATTAAAGGGCACTTAAAATCGATTTCTGTACTCCACCCCGACGAGCGGAGTAGCACCAAAATCGATTTTGTTAATTCGAATTAGGGGTAGTGTGGCCGCACACCACCGAATTAATGTGGTTAAAATTAATGGGGTAGTGTGGCCGCACACCACCGAATTAATGTGGTTAAAAACCGAATTAATGTGCTTAGTGTGGCCGCGCACAATCGAATTTATACAATCTGTTTCCCAAATTCGAATTATCTAAATTCGAATTAATCTCGTAGTGTAGACGTACCCTTAGAGACTAACAAATTTATTAGAGCATAAGCTTTCATGGGCTACAACCCACTTATATGCATCTGAAGAAGTGGGTTGTAGCCCACGAAAGCTTATGCTCTAATAAATTTGTTAGTCTCTAAGGTGCCACAAGTACTCCTGTTCTTTTTAAGGCACAGGGTGTCATGCTGGGTCCCAGGAGATGGTGCGGGTGGCAGCCGTGATGATGAAGGTTGCTCCTTCCCCAAAACTCAGTCAGACGGTGGTCCCGTCCCGTCCTTTCAGGCAGCCACTGCTGTGATCGCTGCCTTTTCACACCCTTTCACATCTACGCGTGTTGTGAGACGTTAGTGTGAGACAATCGTTCACTCACTTTTCACAGTTGAGCTCACAACGAGGGTAACTTTCTAGGCTCGGTTATCACAACACATGTTAGTACCTAAGACAGAGGGTAACGAGGGACGTGACGTGGTGGGATCGCAGGGTTAGCCTCTCTGATTCCAGATCCAAGCCGGTCCCTTCACTCATTGCAAGCTGGCTGTAATGGCTGGCACTGCAAACTGACCCTCCTGGCTCTGCAGGCTGAGCTAGACGCTCTCTGCCACTGACAGCGTCGCCACCGATGCAGGTTCTGCAGCAGGGAGCCAGCTGCCAATTCTGCTGGTTTGGGGGAGGCAGAATCAAATGCCTCTCAGGATCATTGGCCCTGCATGCTGCCCTGGCCCATTGTAATGAATGCTCAGTAGAACATCTTCGAGACCTACCAGGAGCTGGGCAGTTGAGTACAAAGGGGACACTTTGCTGACCCACAGCCTGATGCCTAGAGCGATGGGATTCACTTACCAGAATAGTCCAGGCACCCTGGCATCGTGTGTCTATCACTAGCGTGGCTTTGAACTCGTTTTGTAAAGCAGTAGTCCAGGAAGAGAAGACAGGCGGCCATGAGGGCTCTTCTTCCAGAGCTTAGAAACCCCTCACTTGACAACGTCTCTAAGGTATTTCCGAGGCTCCTTTCACCATGTCGTGCTCTCTCGTCGTGTCTCTCCACCTTCCCCGGTCCCACCTGATGGGCTAACCAGAGCAGTGGTGAGGTAGCCCAATGCCTCGGGGGGTTGGCCTGCAGTCCCTGTGTTATGGGTCTCCAGTACCCCCAGGGGAATCTTACATTGACATTCTGCACAGGTGCCCTGTGCCCCCAGCCTCTGGGCACTTGAAGCAATCTAAATGGGCTTGGAAGGATTAGATTTGTACTGGTAAATAGCGGTAAACGTTGATTTCAGCGTGCACACCCACAAACCGAGGAAAAGGTATTCCCAGCGCTAATAATCAACATGTACAGATGGGCAAAGTAAGAGAAGTGCTGCTTGTATGTAAAGCGTGTTGTAATGCTGGTGCTAAGGGAGCTGAAGCAGAGGTGCCATTTAGGTAGCTTTAACTTTTGAATCTCAACTGCTACTTTCGTTAAATAATTATTGTCTGTGCTCAACCCCCACCCCTAATAATTTCACACAACCGTGAAAACGTAAATTGGTAAAAGTCTAAACAAAGCCGGCTTACAAATAAACAGAATCTGAGACTGGCAGGGACCTCGAGAGGTCAGATAGTCCTGCCCCCTGCACTCCTGGCAGGACTAGGTATTAGCTAGACCATTGATATTATGTGTAAGAATTATAAAGAATAAAAAGTGAATTCTGCCAAGCCAAAATATAAACCTCCCAGAGCAGGGCCTGGCTGATAAGTTCAGGGCGTCACAGGGGGGCTGGGGGCAAACCAACCCCCAACCCTGTCATCTCAGTCCCCAGAACCCCGCTGTAAACCAACAGACTGAGAAGGACCTGGGACCAAAGTCAGTCCTGGGGCAAGCACTTGCAGCTCCCTGCTGAAGTCACCAGGTGTTGCTGCCACCTACTCCATGGCTGAATTTGGCGCAGTAGCTTGATCCTGGCCTTGAGGGACATCACCAGTGTGCGCTGGCACTCAACAAGGAGGAGGAGTGGCCAGAGTTGTGCTCCTCAGTGGAGATGGCCGGTGGTACCTATTGGTCAGCCTCGGGCACCTCAGTGCCATGGACAGCTGGCCCTATAATGTGCAAGGTTTGAAAGCCCAAGAGCAAGGCCTTGAGACGGGCCTGGTGGATAATGGGTGGCCAGTGACATTCACAGAGTGTGTGCATCACCGACTCTCCATGGGCAGAGGCCCCGGAGCTCACATCAGGGCTGGCTCCAGGCACCAGCTTGTCAAGCAGGTGCTTGGGGCAGCCACTCCGGAGAGGGGCGGCACGTCCAGCTATTCGGCGGCAATTCGGCGGACGGTCCCTCACTCCGGCTCGGAGCGAAGGACCTTCCGCCGCAGATCGCGATCGCGGCTTTTTTTTTTTTGGCTGCTTGGGGCGGCCAAACCCCTGGAGCCGGCCCTGGCCCACATGCGGCCTGTTCTGCCACCACTCCAGCCTGAGGGGCATTTCCAGGGGGCTCCCAGCGACGCTCATTGCTGTATTGGGTCACAGACTCGGGCGGAAGGGCTGGGGGAAGGGGTCTGACCCACCTGAAAAGCTCTGCCTGACCATTAGCCGGGCTCTCACCTGCTGGCGGTGGGCCCCTGGAGGCCCGCTGTGCTGAGATGGCTCCGCTCCGTGTCTAAGCGGGCGGGTGCCATTGCAGTGACGGCTGTCTCCATCCCCAGGGTGGCCCGTGTGTGCCGGCTGTGGTACGGGGCAGCCTCCAATCCCGTGCTGTGGCAGAAGGTGTCAATCGGCTTCTGCTGGGTGGAGCCTGGCGAGAAGCAGCCTCCCCAGACCGAGAAGAGAATCCTCAGCACGATGGAGTGGCTGGTCCTGAACAGGTGGGTGCTGCGTTCTAGAGGGGGGTGTCCTATCCCCTGGGCATGACACATGCCTTGGCCCTCTCCTGCTGTGTCACCCCCACATTCCTTCCCACTCCAGCTCCCCTGCCCCTCCCCCTCCTCCCTTTATACTGTCCTCTCCCAGGACGGCTGGATGCAGGCTGGCTCGGCAGCCAGATTAACTCTCTCTTTCCTCCATGCAGGTTTTCACTTCTCCGGGACTTTGCTCTTTGTCACTGGAAGAGCCACGTGCCCGTTGTCCTGCAGGTGAGACGGCAGGGGTCAGTTTGGCGTGATATTCTGCCATCCTTGGTGGCTGCTCCCCACGGGCAATGCCCTTCTGCCCTGGGACGCCGGCCAGCCCGCACCGATCCCTGGTTTTGGATGGATGTAGCCATAGCTCTGTGAACAGGTGGCCTTCTGCGACTAAGAGCCAGTGGCACAAAGTGCAAAGGATATCCAGCCCTCAGGCTCCGAGTTTCGGGCCCTCTCTGCTGTCAGTCACGCAGCCTCTGTCAGCACTGAGAGCAGAATCGTCTTCCTCACAGGGAATTTAATTGGAGCGAGGTGGCGAACGTGAATCCCCCAGCCTGCGTGTAGCCCGCCTTTTACAGGGTCTGCTCGTGGGCTGGCAGGGCCGGCTGGCTCACTGCCCTCTCTCGTTACAGGCCCTTGCGGAGTCCTGCCCCCTTCTCCTATCCCTCAAGCTGACCTACTGCAATGGAGTGACCACCAAGTCCCTGAGCACACTGGCCGAACGCTGCCCCCGGCTGGAAAGCTTAAACCTGCAGAATTCCCAGGTAGGCGCGTGCGGGGCTCTGCTGAGCTGAGGGGAGACGGGGTCAGTTTAGGCCAGGGAGCCCCTGAGGCCCTCCCAGAAATACAAGGGGGCCGTCCTGTGGGGCGATGCTGCAGCCACATCACTATTGCTACCTGCTGGGGGGGGCGAGGCTAGGAAATGTGTCGTAAGGCCCATTCTGCCCAGCCCCCCAGGGGAGCACTGTGTGCCCTGCCAGAGAGGAGCCATCTGCCAGCCCTCTGGTCCCCTAGGAACGTGAGAACACTGAGCTACAGCCAGTCAAACCCACCTGGCCTGCGCTGAGACTGTCAACTCCATTGCCTGGGACAGCGCCCAGCCCCCTCCCAGACATGCCTGATGAGCCCCTTATCCCGTCCCAGTATTGCTCGCCCAGACAGGGGCTTCCTAATCTGCTGTAGCCAACAGCTGTGTACAGCCATGGAGTTTTTTCTGTGGCTAATTAGCCAGCCCCTGCTCAGACAGCTTTGAGGGCGGTGCATGGCGTCTGGCTGCCTCGTGCTGGGTGGTAACCCCTCACTGGGTGGCCTCCTCTGGTTTGTTCCCAGGTTGACTCCTCAGCTGTGGTGAGCTTTCTGGAGGCCGCTGGCTCTCGGATCCGGCAGCTCTGGCTGACGTACAGCAGCCAAACGAATGCCATCATCGCCACGCTCTCGGTAAGCCGGGCAAAGGCCGCCGGGGGAGGGGGAGTTGTAGAGGGGCTGGCCTTGCCCGAGTGTTCCCTGTCAGAGCTGGACTGCACCATACGTACGTGGGATGGGACAGTTTCTCAGCCTGCTTCGACAGAGGCTTATGAGACCCAGGAAGCTGCTTCTGCTGAGACTGGAACAACAAGAGGCAGGGGTTGAATTGGAAGTGGTGCTTCCCCAGGCTCCGCCCGCAAGCCGGGCGCTCCCCATTCCCGACTCTGAAATGAGATGCCATTGAGTCAGTGTCAGATTTCCATTGTAACCATTCCTCTTTCTGGCAGCCCTGCTCAGCTGTGAAATGGTCAGCAGCTCACAGTGCATCGTTAGGTTTCAGAGTTAACACTCCATTGCGATGAACAGGGCAGATCGTACCTCTCAGGGCTGCTGTTCCAGGCTGTCTGCGGGGGTCACTGCATCCGTTACACTTGGGTCACGGCGGGTGGGCGTGGGGCCTGACCGATCAGCCGGGAGTGCCTCATTCTCTGAACCTGTCGCCCCTCTGCAGAGCGGTTGCTGCCTTGGGCTGCAGCTCCTGGAGGTGAACACGGAGATCAGGCAGAGCAGCCAGCACCTCCAGCTCTCGGTAGAGCACCTGCAGGCAGCCTGCCAGCAGCTACAGGTACCCGTGAACTCTGCTTCCTTCCTCTCTCCGCGTCCCCTACCCCGGGAACCCTTTGCCGCCCTGCAGCGCCAATGCTAGCTTATTCCTTCCCCCGCTGGGTGGGTCCTTGGACACATGGCAATTCTGGGTTCACAGGCTTCCCGGAAGCTCAGGTCGGTTCATTCTCCTGCCCCTTCCCTGTTCGGTCTGCGTCCCCCCCGCATTGGCAGCTTGCGTGGCCACCCATGGCTGCAAATGGTGCTCGGTTCAATGCAGTGCGCTCGCCCAGTGTGCCCCTGCAGCCAGGAGAGGTCTCCTGACACCTGAGGGCGTCCCCTGCCGCTGGGTGCTTTCTCTCTCTGGAGAGGCTGGGCAGTCCCTGGACGAGGGGCTCGCAGGCATTCACAGCGGGGCAGCTGCTTTTCAGCAGGTGATGCCTGCATGTCCTGGCATTGCTTTATGGCCGTGCATTGCCTTGCCCTCTCCCACGCTGCCCCCTGCTGGTGGGAGACCTCCCAAACCCTAGGTACCAGGCACCCCTTCAGATCCCTCCTAGAGACTTGCTTCTTCCCTAGACCCTCGCCCGTGTCCGGAGCTCTGCCCACCCCAGCAGTGTGTGCCAGTGACGTCATGTCTGGAGCTCACCCCTCCTCCAGTTTCCCTGGGCATCTCGGCAGACGCAGCTCAGACGATTGTGGTGCACGCTGCCCAGGGCAGGGCCGGTTTTATGTGCAGGATCTGTTTGTTCCCTCTGTCTTCTGATTTGTGCCTGGAGCAGGGTGTCTGTCACCCCATGGGAGGCAAGCAGGGAGGGGAGGAGGTAGGGTTGATCCGCACTGGCTGTTTTAATCCTCCTGTGCCCTCCTGTCCCCATGATGGGCACGGTGTACATGCATGGAATAGAGACAGCTATAGTCCAAGGGTACTGCTGTTCCCAGCATGCAGTGCGTTTGGCTGCATTGCATGCTGGGATTTGTAGTTTCCCCGGGGTGCACTGTAGAGCATCAGGAGCTGCACCTGGTCAATGTTTGCTGCCTACTCTTTAAAGCAGCCCTGAGTGGAGCAAGCCAGGGGTTGCTCCTGCCCATAGGCACGAACTTTCCCTGGCGCCTGTGAGTGCTTGCGCCCCCTTGGCCCCGCCCCGACTCCACCCTTTCCCTGCCCCATTCTAACCCCTTCCCCAAAGTCCCCGCCCCCTCCCTGCCCCTATTGGACCCCTTCCCCAAATCCCGGCCCCGGCCCAGCCCCGCCTCTTCCCCGAGTGCGCCGCGTTCCTCCCCCTCCCTCTCAGCCACGCAAAAGAGCTGTTTCGCAGCGCAAGCGCTGGGAGCTAGGGGGAAAAAGCGGGCACGCGGCGCGCTCAGGGGAGGAGGCGGAGCGGAGGCGGAGGTGAGCTGGGCGGGGAGCTGCCGGTGGGTGCTGAGCACCCCCCAATTTTTCCCCGTGGGTGCTCCAGCCCCAGAGCACCCACGGAGTCTGCTCCTATGCTCCTAGTAGTAGCCATCGTTGTCAGCCGATTGGGAGGTTGTTGTCTGGGGTTGGTGGGTCATTCCTGCCCCCATCTGTTTCCCTTCCAGGTGCTGCGTCTGCTCAATATGGTCTGGTCCCCGAAGCCAAGCCCTCGGTTCGTCCCCACCTCCTTGGGCTTCCCTCAGCTAGAGGAGCTGTGCCTGGCGTCCACCTCTTACTCCTTTATCAGTGATGGCGTCCTGCAGAAGATCCTACAGGCCTCCACCAGGCTGCGGGTACTGGATCTGCGTGGCTGCTTCCGCGTGACCCCCAAGGGGCTGCAGGAGCTGCCGTGCCCTGGTGAGCCTTGGAGGCCCCTCTCTGGGGAGGAGGAGGGGGGTGTCTCGTGTGGAGGACAGGTGCATCTGGTGCAGCTAGGGACAGTCTTTCTGCCTCCTGGTGAGGCCCTGAGCCTAATGTGTAGCACATGCGGCTCGTGGGACCCTCCTGCCCGGCCCCTGAGCTCCTGGCCCGGGAAGCTAGTCCCCCGCCCCCCCTGCAGCCTCAGCTCACTGCGCCGCTGGTGCAATGCTCTGGGCGGCGGGGCTGCGAGTTCTTGCCGGGCAGCTGACCCGGTGCTCTGTGCTGCACGGTGGCGTGGCTGGCTGTAGCCGGGCGACGCAGCTCTCTGTCCTGGTGCTCTGGGCGGCGTGGCTGTAGCGCCGCCAGCCACCGGTGCTCCAGGCAGCGTGGTAAGGGGGCAGGGAGCGGGGGGGGTTGGATAGAGGGCAGGGGAGTTCAGGGTGGTGGGAGGGGGTGTGGATAAAGGTCGGGGCGGTCAGAGGGCGGGGAACAGGGGGGTTGAATGGGGGCAGGGGTCCCCGGGAGGCAGTCAGGAAGGAGGGGGGGTTGGATGGGGTGGCAGGGGGCAGTCAGGGTCAGGGAGAAGAGGTGGTTGGATGGGGAAGTCAGGAAGGAGAGGAGGGGTTGGAAGGGACAGGATGTCCAGGGGCAGTTATTGTCCCACAAACTTATACAGGATCGTTTTAGGGGTCAAGACAAAGATGCCACATTTATTATGATAACAATTTGATTTCTGACCAATAACTAATATCTTAATCCTAATACACACACATTATACCTAATACCTATAAACACACTGTGACGAACTGGGTCTGTTCTTACTGTGGTCTGTGAATGCTGACAGGGGAGTGTGGCTGGGACAGCCGGCATTGGGGGATGGGAGACTGACTGGAAATACCTGAGCCTGTAACATGAGAACCCAGGAGGGGGCTGGGACCAGGTGACACCTTTGCCCAGAGACTGAACAAAGGCTGTGGGTGGGGTCGCTGAAGGCAGAGTTGGAGAAGCTGGCTAGTGACTAGGGCTTGGGGCAGACAGGGCTCTGATCCCCTAAGGGGGCTAGGGTGCCTGGGGACCCCAAGATGGACCTAACTGAGGGGGTCCTGTTGTCTGTGCCTGCAAGACCTGTCTTGGACTGTATTCCTGTCGTCTAAATAAACCTTCTGCTTTACTGGCTGGCTGAGAGTCATGGTGAATCGCAGGACGCCGGGGGTGCAGGGCCCTGAGTCCCCCCATACTCCGTGACACACACCCACCCACCCACCAGATGTTCTGCAGCTGCTGCATAGTTACCAGTCCTGCTTGAGTCTGTGGCTTGAGTTTGCAGCTTGGGTTCGTAGCTTGTGGCGGTAACTGGCCAGGAAAGCCGGGCACAAGGACGAGCTGGGTCTCTGT